AAAAGCATCCTAGTTCCCTTCTCCAAGTTCATGGTATAAAAGTGGAGCCCCCGGATACCCAAACCTGCGCTGAGGATCTTCCGGCAGAGGTCGGTAACCAGCTTGGTTCCAAGTTCACGGACCATTTCGTCGTTGTTCTTGTGAGGTTCTAGAACATCTAAAAATGATCGAGGGATAGTGATTTTGGCGAGGCTTGTGGCTTTCATGAACCCATTCCATGTTTTAATAGGGTTGATGCCTGGTACGATCGGAACGGTAATGCCCGCTTTCCTGACATTATGTACCCATTTGACGAACACGTCAATATCGTAAAACATCTGTGTAAAGATGAACGAAACACCAGCATCTATCTTTTCCTTAAGCCATGCTAGCTCTTTTTGGAGTTCTTCCTCAGGCAGCATCTGATGTTCTGGAAATCCTGCTACGGCAATCTCAAAGTAGTCGCCGTAGTGCTTTCGGATATGTCGGACGAGATCGATTCCGTGAACGAAACCACCTTCCGTTGCTGTCCATTCGTCCTGACCAGCTGGGGGATCTCCTCGCAAAGCGAGAATATTACGGCATCCATGGAGTTTTGCCTCCTGTTGGATCGTGCGATATAGTCAGTCAGTGACTCCCCAACAGTTGGTGCGGTACGATGGGTCACTAAACTCACTCGTAAGGCTATATCGACCTTCTCTTTGGGCATGTTGGTGCAAGTTAGATGCATACAGGTTTCTATCCCGATCAATTTCTGACAAGTCTTCACAAGCTCAGAAGTCAAGTCGGATGTTCTACCACCAGCATTCCTGTATGATCATTTTAATCAGAGGGGGGATAAAGTCATCAGATTCAACTCTAGGGCAGTGGTATGGACGTACCAAGTGATATCGATAAACTCAGGCCCTAGTCCTCGCATGCGCTCTATACGATCAAGAAGGTTTTGTAGACCCTGTAAAAGAACATCGAGAGGTCGAAATGGTCAGCTGAATCATCGCCGCCTGTCACCGACTCGGTCGCACAAACAACAGGGGTGGACGAGAAGAAAAGGGCTATACCTGGGCGGTACGGGGTGGAAAATATTCAAAAGACCACCATATTCTGTCTTCTTTTTCTGCCTTGGCAATCTTTTGGGTGATTTTCATGGCTCCTGAAGAAAAATTCTAAGATGGGACGATGGACGGAAAGCAACTTAGTCGGTCAATTGAACCCACTCTTTTTCACCGAAAACCATCTCCTTGTCGCCACACCACTCTTAGTGTCCTCACCATATATCCTGGATCTCTTTAGCGTGGCTTTTTCCTCGGTTCCGCGTCTCGCCACTGGTGCACAGATGGTCACGAGCTGTCAAAACGCGCACGACTGATTGGGTCAAGCATCCTATATTTGCCCTGCTATCAAGAGTATAATCTGTAGCCAAATACTGGCGATTTCCCCTGTCTTCCATGACGCGAGTTAAGCTGTAAACAAGTACGTAGGTAGATCATGAAAATGGCCACGTCTTACGTAATATTTCACGTCAATTCATGTTACATTTACCCGCCTCTTGCAAGTACATTAAGTTAGATGTATCTTTTCTCATCATGTGCAACGGACAGATCAAGTAAATATAGAGGATGGGATATATTCATGGGGGAAGAGTATAATCTACAACATTCGTCACAGTAGTTTCCTAAGGTAGCGTGATTAGATGAACACTCTTTTATTTACAAATCTGCAAAGAAGAAGTTGGTATCACCCGGAGGAGATCCAGGCATGAGAGAGGACGGAATATCGACCTTCTCTCCGGATAAATCTTTTCAACATGTCAGTGCCTTGTTTGTGGGCATAATATGACAAATGACGAACCTAAGAGCTTAATCTTCAGACCGATTTCAGTTAAGGCATGCACAAAATCTGCTGTTTCGGACGTCGCAACGTGACCACCATCTCTTCTGAGCATGTTGAGGCCATCCGTCCAGTCTGCCCATCTTGAGGGATCGGTAGCGACATGGTCTCCTAGTGATTCTCCACCCCTAACACTGAGGAGCGAAAATGACATGGGAGAGGCAACCGGTGTAACGTTA